TTACTTCAACACAGACTGAACGGAATACCAGGAGAGTCTACAGAGCCCCGCTCCTGTGCCAGATTAAGTCCACTACGGGCTCACCATAGCCCGTGCTACTTGCCCCGCTCCTGTGCCAGGTAAGTCCACTACGGGCTCACCATAGCCCGTGCTACTTGCCCCGCTCCTGTGCCAGGTAAGTCCACTACGGGCTCACCATAGCCCGTGCTACTTGCCCCGCTCCTGTGCCAGGTAAGTCCACTACGGGCTCACCATAGCCGTGCTACTTGCCCCGCTCCTGTGCCAGGTAAGTCCACTACGGGCTCACCATAGCCCGTGCTACTTGCCCCGCTCCTGTGCCAGGTAAGTCCACTACGGGCTCACCATAGCCCGTGCTACTTGGATCTTGTTCCGAGTAGCTGAATCTATAACAACACCCAGGACATGCACACAAGCACAGGCAAGGAGCCAGATTCACGAAGCAGTTACGCAAGCACTTACGAACGTGTACATCTTTCCTCAATCTTTGACGGCTTTGGTTACATTTATTAAACAGTTTACAAGCATGAAAACTTGCCAATCAACTGTTGTTATTGTTATAAACAGCCTCCTGGTGCTTCGGAGCTCATTAACTGTTTAATAATTGTAAACAAAGCCGCCAAAGATTGAGAAAAGATGGACAGGTTCGTAAGTGCTTTCGTGAATCTGGCCCCAGGTTCGTAAGTGCTTGCGTAACTGCTTCGTGAATCTGGCTCAAGGAATGGGTAGTCCCACTCATGGACGGATTTTATTTACTACAATACGGCTCAGAATATTTAAATATATACAAATATTTATCTGTTAGCTTCTAGTGTCGTTAGGGTTATAGATCATCTTGATATCATTTGCACCCCCGCCACCCCCCCCCTCCACGCTGCTCTGGCACGAACCTTGTTGCAAATTTCTGTACCTTTTGAAGTTTTCAACAGAGACGTCGACGAGGACTGTGAAGCCCTTATCTCCCGTAGTTGGCGTGCAATGTTCTGAATGTGCTACTGTACCGGGCACACGCTACTGTACCGGGCACACGCACCTGTACCGGGCACACGCTACGGCACAATCGCCTTACTCCTCAACATACTATTTCCTCTCGTATCTTAAGAAAGCGGTCCATTTTCTCACTACCTGTACAATAAACAAGTTGGTTGTACCATGTAAGACTCATTTATGCTTCTTAGTTCCATTCATCTCACTTTTCCTTCCCTGGACTGAAGACATCCTATTTGTCCAGCTTATCCACTATCCCGAGGATCGTTATAACGTCTATAACGTGATAACGTCTTTCGATTCTAACGCTAGAATCGATAGCGTCTTTCAAATGTGGCGATGTTCAGCTATCTTAGATTTCCCTCATAGTTTTATCCTCACAGTGCGGTTTTAATGCGGATTCCCGGGCTTCATCCTGGGATGTGTGTGTGTGAGTTAGGAAATATGTAGTAGATATGATAAGAGAAAAAATAGGTCGGGAGTCAGTACATTAGACAACGGACGGTTCGAAAGGCGGAGCCCAAGAGTTAAGATGTCGTTCCTGCGGGTACAAATAGTAAACACACACACACGTCAATAGATGGAATATATGAATTAATATGCAGGCGATGAGTCACAATAACGTGGCTGAAGTATGTTGACCAGACCACACACTAGAAGTTGAAGGGACGACGACGTTTCGGTCCGTCCTGGACCATTCTCAAGTCGATTGTGTCTCCATTCACAATCGACTTGAGAATGGTCCAGGACAGACCGAAACGTCGTCGTCCCTTCACCTTCTAGTGTGTGGTCTGGTCAACATATGAATTAATAGATGGAATGCACTAGGAAGTGATGTAGTGGAGGCTGACTCCATACAGAGTTCCATATGTAGATATGATAGAGCCCAGTAGGCTCAGGAACCTGTACACCAGTTGATTGACAGTTGAGAGGCGGGACCAAAGAGTCAGAGCTCAACCCCCGCAACCACTACTAGGTAAGTACGTCAAGTAATCGCAACTCTTCCATTACTGGTAAGACTGAAAACTGGAGCCGTGTACTACAGTTTAGACCTATTGTCTTGTGCCTGGTTGACGACACGAAGACATCCTCAACTACCAACACACATTCAGGTGACCTTTGCCCGAAATCCCTTCAACAATCCGGCAAACTTCCTACTTACCCAGGACCAAGATTCATCAACACTTGAGTGTCCCATAACGAAACCTGTACATCTGTTCACATACATGGTGGCTTAGTTTACAGTAAACAGTCTCTGTCTTAATCAGTCTTAAGCACTACGTTGTTGTTCATTTATAACAACATTGGGTTGCCAGGTTTCGCAGCTTGTAAACAGACTAAGCCCCCCATGATCGCGGAAAGATGTACAGGTTTCGTAGCTTGACACAAATTCTGGACGCATGCTGGCCCAGATATCCAACCAAGTCTTCCGAGACGACCGGAGGACCAGCCCAAGACAGACGACACGTGACCAAGAGCCTTGCTCCCCCATGTCCCTCAAATAATTTCTCAAGCTAAGAGACGACAGGTGAATGGCCCTCAAGGCGAACGACACGTGCTCAAGGAGCCATCCCTTCCAGGGTCCACAAAGAAGCCACCTCCGTCCCTTCCAACTATTCCCACACTACTAACAAGGAGACGGAAGCCGGACGTCCACAAACCAACGGCACGTGTACAGGACCCGTCGCCAAGCTGCCTCGCCCACAAACAACACTGTCTCTCAACAACAATCAACTCACACCCGTCCCTTATCACCCCCAACTATCCATCCATCCACCCACGACGTGAGAGCAACCCCCCAGACGACCCCCGGGACAGTAGGACGACGACTCCACGTGAGTACGACACGTGATGAAGGAGCCTTCCGCTCCGTCTCCAGCGCTACCATTTCACCTGTCACATCTCTGTACACACACACACACACACACACACACACATACACACACACACACACACACACACACACACACACGCACACACACACACACACACACACACACACACACACACACACACACACACACACACACACACACACACACACACACACACACACACTCCCACGTAGCTACTCATGAGAACAGCCATCTCCATGACAATTCCCTCTCCAGCCTCCCCCACCACCAAACTAGAACCCGTGATCTAAAAACCTTCAATATAAATCCACCGGCGAAAGCAGTAACAAAAACTACGAATTACCTAAGAGGAAAAAATGTTGTCGACAATTTTAAATACGAAGAAGGAGAGAGGGGAAAAAAACAAGTGAGGAACGGCCGGGACGGAGCACTCCACCCGACTCCAGTGCCGACTCCACTCGTGTAGATGATGGATGGGAGTGTGGAGTGGCGGACGGTGAGGGGGAGTGAGTTTGGGCACACCTGTTATGATCTGGGGGATTGGGGGATTGGGGGATTGGGGGAAGAGTGACGCACACTATGTAACCCTTTATATAGTCTATGGTAGCAGCATAAATAAAGATGAACGTCTGTTACACAAGCTACCACCAGCAGTACCACCAGCAGTACTACCAACAGTACCACCACCAGTACCACCACCAGTACCACCACCAGTACCACCACCAGTACCACCACCAGTACTACCATCAGTACCACCACCAGTACCATCACCAGTACCACCAGCAGTACCACCACCAGTACCACCTCGCCTACAACCTCGACTATTGTCTCTTCCAATATATCTTGCCGTTACCTAGCGGTGGTTCCGGGGTTCAAGGTCCCCGCGGCCCGGTCTCTAAACAGGCCTCATTTAACCAGCTATTTTCCAGCCACCAGTAGAAAAGTTGAACATGGAATCGGACGAGTATTTTCACTCGACCACAGTCGGATTAATAGCATCAAGAGGGTTAAACGCTCATACAAGTCACTAAACTATCTACACCAGTGACAACGATGTTGTCACTGGTGTAGATAGCCTATCACTGGTGTAGAACACCTATCTTTCGTTATCTCAACACGTGCGAGATTATACTTTTTATCAGTGTAACAAACCTAGTGTCTGGGTCATCCCATTTTCTCAAATCGTTGTTGATGATGGGGCTTATATATAAGTGACTTACGTTGTCACTTAATTTTTACGGGCTCACCATAGCCCGTGCTACATGGACACTTAGTCCTGAGTAGGTAAATCTTTAACAACAACAACATGTCACTTAATGTTTACGTTAGGTAATTGAAGAGTACATATTGCTTACCTTTAGGTAAAGGGAAGGTTGTGGGTGACAGGTTATCTTGAGGTTATCTTGAGATGATTTCGGGGCTTTAGTGTCCCCGCGGCCCGGTCCTCGACCAAGCCTCCACCCCCAGGAAGCAGCCCGTGACAGCTGACTAACACCCAGGTACCTATTTTACTGCTAGGTAACAGGGGGGCATAGGGTGAAAGAAACTCTGCCCATTGTTTCTCTCCGACGCCTGGGATCGAACCCAGGACCACAGGATCACAAGCCCAGCGTGCTGTCCGCTCGGCCGACCGGCTCCCAGGTGATAACAGTTACTGGGAGATCACACGATGTCACAGCACATCAGTGTGTATGCGGCGAGAGGCTATACCTGGCAAGGTGCAGTCCTTGAGCAGTCTGCCTGTCATTACACACAGTTACAGCCCCGCTCCTGTGCCAGGTAAGTCCACTACGGGCTCACCATAGCCCGTGCTACTGGCAACTTTGTGTTCCCAGTAGCTGAACCTAAAACCACAACAACACTGGTTTTGGAAGCAGTGTTATGGCTTTATGGACCAGATTAGCGGGTAACACAATAGTTATGGGATCACTGGGTTGTTTCAAGCGTAGGTTAGACATATATATGAATGAGTCTAGGTGGATATGAAGAGGAACTGCCTCATAGGAGCCAATAGGTCTTCTGTAGTTCTATAAACGTTACGCTGTATATAACGTGCCATTACGCCCCACAGAGCCACGGGCTATTCATGCCCGTGCCACTTCTTGGGTGGCTTAATCTTTATATGGATGGATCCCACAGAGCCAGTGATGGTAAGCAACAAGACGGAGCGGGCCGTGCCCGTCACCTCTCAACCAGAAGCAGGCGAACACCACCCCGTGCTCAACCCCTTCCAGAACACCTCCCCGGCCCTACCCCCGACCTACACCCAGCGCAGAGGAAGGAAGCCGCGCAAAAAATCCAGGAAGAGGTCCAAAAGCGGGGGAGGCATCGTGGGGCCATACCCAATAGTGCCACAAGGTGAGTGGCGGCCCAGAGGTCCATCAGGGTCAGTCTTTAGTGTTGTTAAGTCACCGGGGCAGTCTTGGCTGGCTTCCGGGTTGTAATGGGTCAACTAGGTCCTAGGTCTAGGTTGTACTTAGACCTAGGTCCTAGGTCTAAGGCTAACTAGGACAGTTAGCCTTCGGTTCTATAGTGACCGTTTGGGTCAAAGTTGACTCGCCAACATTCCATGTACTCACCTAATTGTGCTTGCCGGGGGTTGAGCTCTGGCTCTTTGGTCCAATAGCGCTTAACATCCCGGGTATCCAGACCCAGATGACCAACTAATACAAAGTTCAGTTATTAGCTGTAACAAGTAAGCACTTCTGTAATATTACACTTTTTGTTAGAAAACCTAATGCCATTAGGAATAATGATCTTTTTCATTTATATTCATTTTCAATATAACTGGAGTTGAGTAATTAGTGAAGGTAGAAGGGGAGGCAGCATGAGGCAGGAGACTGACCCAAACACCTGCCAGTGTGTGTGTGTGTGTGTCTCAACACCTGCCTCTCTTGACTATACCACACTTGAACACCAACACTCTATACCAATACCTGCACTTACAGGTGTTTAGGACACAGGGGAACACCTACACCAGACTAACACGTGTTGAGAACACAGGGAAACACCTACACCAGACTAACATGTGTCCAGAACACAGGGAAACACCTACACCAGACTAACATGTGTCGAGAACACAGGGAAACACCTACACCAGACTAACATGTGTCGAGAACACAGGGAAACACCAACACCAGACTAACACGTGTTCGAGAACACAGGGAAACACCTACACCAGACTAACACGTGTTCAGAACACAGGGAAACACCAACACCAGACTAACACGTGTTCAAGAACACAGGGAACACCTACACCAGACTAACACGTGTTCAAGAACACAGGGAAACACCAACACCAGACTAACACGTGTTCAGAACACAGGGAAACACCTACACCAGACTAACACGTGTCGAGAACACAGGTGTGGAACAGTAGAGCTTAAGAGAGCACGTGTGGCACGGAGAAGTGATGACGTGTAGGTGTTGTTCACCGTGCAGGGACGCGGGAAGCGGCGTTCGTGCACGCCATCTCGTCGGCCGGCGTGGCCCACGCCATCACCCGCCGCTGCTCGTCCGGGGAACTGGATGACTGCGGCTGCGACAGGTCGGTGAGGGGCGTGACCCAGCACGGCTTCCAGTGGTCGGGGTGCTCCGACAACATCGCCTACGGTGTCTCTCTCTCCAAGAGGTGAGTGGTAGTCACCTGTGGTGGTTCCTGAAGAAGTTGTGGTAGTAGTGGTAGTATTAATTAGCTCTCGTGGTGGTGGTGGTTTGGTGTAGTCAGGCTATGAGGCCTGACAGTTGAGTGGACAGCGCTCAGGATTCGTAGTCCTGACGTTCCGGGTTCGATCCCCGGTGGAGGCAAATGGGTTTCTTTCACCCTAATGCCCCCCTGTTCACCTAGCAGTAAATAGGTGCTTGGGAGTTAGACAGCTGCTACGGGCTGCTTCCTGAGGGGTGTGTAACAAAAAGGAGGCCTAGTCGAGGACCGGGCCGCGGGGACACTAAGCCCCGAAACCATCTCAAGATAGTCGTAGTAGTAGTTATGGTTGCTGTAGTGGTGGTAGTAGCAGTCTATGTTGTTGTTGATGTTAGTGGTGTTGTATCGGTGGTGGTGGTGGTGGTGGTAGGTGCTTGTAGAACTTGTAGTAATTCGTGGATTTACAGTAGTAAAGTAGTAGCAATAGTCACACACAGAGATCACACTAACGTGATGCATCAAAATGAACAAATCCACAAGGGCCGTGACGAGGATTCGAACCTGCGTCCGGGGAGCATCCCAGACACATTTAGTAGCAGTAGTAATGATACTAATAACAGCTGCAGCCAGTATTAGTAATAAGTATTATCATTAGTATTAAAGTAGTGGTAGCTGAGTAAAGTGACAATAATGACAGGAGATACAAGATAGTAAAATATATATATATATATATATATATATATATATATATATATATATATATATATATATATATATATATATTCCGTAGCAGTAATTACTAGTCACCACTAATAACTATTTGCATTAACAGCATTAGTAACACTAGTAACACTAACGAGCAGAAGCCGTAATGGTAACGCTCACTCACTAACGCAAGTTTTATTACTAGTAATACAGATATTAATAATATAGACAGCATTAATTTTTAATAATAATAAGTTTATATGAATAATATTAAGCATTTAGCAACATTAATAATTGGAGGAAGGAACAAGAATAATAATGATAATGTATCTTAGCCGGGACTAAGATACGAGGACCCGTATCTTAGCCAGGACTGAGATACGAGGACCCGTATCTTAGCCAGGACTGAGATACGAGGACCCGTATCTTAGCCAGGACTAAGATACGAGGACCCGTATCTTAGCCAGGACTGAGATACGAGGACCCGTATCTTAGCCAGGACTAAGATACGAGGACCCGTATCTTAGCCAGGACTGAGATACGAGGACCCGTATCTTAGCCAGGACTAAGATACGAGGACCCGTATCTTAGCCAGGACTAAGATACGAGGACCCGTATCTTAGCCAGGACTGAGATACGAGGACCCGTATCTTAGCCAGGACTAAGATACGAGGACCCGTATCTTAGCCAGGACTGAGATACGAGGACCCGTATCTTAGCCAGGACTAAGATACGAGGACCCGTATCTTAGCCGGGACTAAGATACGAGGACCCGTATCTTAGCCGGGACTAAGATACGAGGACCCGTATCTTAGCCGGGACTAAGATACGAGGACCCGTATCTTAGCCGGGACTAAGATACGAGGACCCGTATCTTAGCCAGGACTGAGATACGAGGACCCATATCTTAGCCAGGACTGAGATACGAGGACCCGTATCTTAGCCGGGACTAAGATACGAGGACCCGTATCTTAGCCAGGACTAAGATACGAGGACCCGTATCTTAGCCAGGACTAAGATACGAGGACCCGTATCTTAGCCGGGACTAAGATACGAGGACCCGTATCTTAGCCAGGACTAAGATACGAGGACCCGTATCTTAGCCAGGACTGAGATACGAGGACCCGTATCTTAGCCGGGACTAAGATACGAGGACCCGTATCTTAGCCAGGACTAAGATACGAGGACCCGTATCTTAGCCAGGACTGAGATACGAGGACCCGTATCTTAGCCGGGACTAAGATACGAGGACCCGTATCTTAGCCAGGACTAAGATACGAGGACCCGTATCTTAGCCAGGACTGAGATACGAGGACCCGTATCTTAGCCAGGACTGAGCACCACGTGTCCACTTAAGACATCCCTGTCCTCTCTCATGGCCGCTTCCTCGGTATTTACTTAACAGTTTACGATATCCTAAACGCTAAGAGGGCGTTCACCATAATATTTTGTCTACCAGGTTTCTGGTCTAAGCCCTACCAGTCTACCAGGTCCCTGGTCTAAGCACTACCAGCCTACCAGGGGCTAGATTCACGAAAGCACTTACGCAAATACTTACGAACGTGTACATCTTTCCTCAATCTTTGATGTCTTTGGTTACATTTATTAAACAGTTTACAAGCCTGAAAACTTGCCAATCAACTGTTGTTATTGTTATAAACAGCCTCCTGGTGCTTCCGAGCTCATTAACTGTTTAATAATTGGAAACAAAGCCGCCAAAGATTGAGAAAAGATGTACAGATTCGTAAGTGCTTTCGTGAATCTGACCCCAGGTCTCTGGTCTAAGACCTACCAGTCTACCAGGTCTGTGGTCTGTTACACAGCAGCATTAATGCAAGGACCAACTTATACAAAACTTACATAATGACAGAACTTTGGAAGGTGTTCAAATTCTGAATATAAAAAAGACAATACATTGCAGTTAGCCGGTGTAATTGTCCAATATGCAAATGAGGCGCGGACCAAGAGTTGTTCTCGTGTCGTCGTAGCCACATAAAACTGCTCTCTCATCAGGAAATATTATTCCTAATTTTGGCCGCTTAACAATTTGGCGGGAGACGGTGCAGGCTACACAACAAAATCCAAAGGCTTATAGACTGTGGAAATGATTCCGTCAATTATGCTTCATCAACATATTTTTACTAAGATGACAAATAATATAAGAACATAAGAACAAAGGCAACTGCAGAAGGCCTATTGGCCCATACGAGGCAGCTCCTATTTATAACCACCCAATCCCACTCATATACTTGTCCAACCCACGCTTGAATATATGTTTGTACAAATCACAGACAAGCTGGAAGCTTCGCATATTTCTTAGGAACGTTGAGGTAATTACAGGTACAGAGAGAGAGATGAACCATAGATATATCATGTTTAAATTATGATTGGCTGAAACGCTATGTGTACTAGTGGCTTTAGGTGTTGTATGTACTATCTCTATCTTTAAATCCAACATTATGTTTGTAACTCAATGTATGTACCTTTACCTGAATTACAAATCTAAATCTAAAATCTAAATCTAAATTACAGGAACTTTCTTCTGCTGTCCCAGAGTTTTGTGAGTGGTCTGGGGCTATCAGCACTGGAGGCCTCTCTCTCTCATCTTCTCTTTCTCTCACCCTCTCTCTCTCTCTCTCTCTCATCTTCTCTTTCTCTCACCCTCTCTCTCTCTCTCTCTCTCTCTCTCTCTCTCTCTCTCTCTCTCATCTTCTCTTTCTCTCACCCTCTCTCTCTCTCTCTCTCATCTTCTCTTTCTCTCACCCTCTCTCTCTCTCTCTCATCTTCTCTTTCTCTCACCCTCTCTCTCTCTCTCTCTCATCTTCTCTTTCTCTCACCCTCTCTCTCTCTCTCTCTCTCTCTCATCTTCTCTTTCTCTCACTCTCTCTCTCTCTCTCTCTCTCTCTCTCTCTCTCATCTTCTCTTTCTCTCACCCTCTCTCTCTCTCTCTCTCTCTCTCTCTCTCTCTCTCACATCCTCACAATCTCTCTCTCTCTCTCTCTCTCTCTCATCTTCTCTTTCTCTCACCCTCTCTCTCTCTCATCTTCTCTTTCTCTCACCCTCTCTCTCTCTCTCTCTCACTCTCTCCATGTCACCTTCTCCTTTCGTTGTTTCCTTCGTTAGTGTGACTGATGGTTTTTAGCTTAAAGGTTGATATTGGTAATTAAATGGTTGAGTTGTAACGTGGTCTCGCGTTCTCCAGGTTAACACCGCTCGACTCTCCCTCTCTTATATTCTTGGTTATCTTCACTTCTTGCAGGTTGGAGTCATTATTTCCCTTATCATTCACAGCCTCGTTCCTGTGCCGGGTAAGTCCACTCCGGGCTCACCATAGCCCGTGCTACTTGCATCTTTTGCTTCCCAGTAGCTAAATCTATAACAACAACCTTATAATTGTGTTTAGTCTTAGTTTTAATTAATCAAAACACTATGTATTGTGGTTTTTGTTTCTTGTTCATTTGTTTAGGGAGATGTTGCCTTATTTAATTCTTTCATTCATTTGTTAATTGCTATTCCTATCCTGTCGTATCCGGTGATAGAACCCGGATGCCCCAGTTGTGAACAGAGAACGTAGACTACTGCGCTACACGTGCAAACATTACTATCTCGAGTACAATAGATGATTGTTATAGATACAATCGCCGGCACTATCACACTACCACCTTATGAGGACAGGGAACTCAGACTTATAACCTTAGAGAAGAAAATAGAGGGGATGTGATCACTACGTACAAGATACCGAGGGGAAATAAACAATATTAACAAGGGCTCCCTTGCTCAAGATAACCATGTTCAGGGCAACTTATCTTGCCCTTGGGGTAGGAGACAAGGGCATTGTCTCCTACCTACTAAGAGTAGGTAGAAGACAATGGTGGAAGCCGGAGACAGGGCCTAGTCGTTGAGATGTAAGGAGATTGCTAAACACTGTGTGGATGATGGACGGAACACTGGAGGAGGATGTCGATGCCACTCACAGCCACATCTTAAGAAAATAGAAGATGACACTGAACTGTGAGAGAGAAGTAATTAGCAGGCGAGGGTAGAGAAGGCGGGAGGGACACAGAGAGAGGCAGGGCTCACTCTCCCGTTGTCACTCATACGCCACAATATCACACCAACCTCAATTCAACGTCACATCAACGTCATTAACGTTGCTTCAACGTCGAACCAATACCACTCTTGGATATTGTGTACACAGGCTGGGTGGTAGTCAGAGATAGGTAAACACACACACACATACACATTAAGACTGAGTACCCAAATGAGCCACAGTGACGTTAAAAAGAACTTTTTCAGTATCAGAGTAGTTAACAGATGGAATGCATTAGGCAGTGATGTGGTGGAGGCTGACTCCATACACAGGTTTCAAATGTAGATATGATAGAGCCCAGTAGGCTCAGGAATCTGTACACCAGTTGATTGACAGTTAAGAGGCGGGACCAAAGAGCCAGAGCTCAACCCCAGCAAGCACAACTAGGCGAGTACACACACACACACACACACCTGGTATCCAGAGGTTAAGGTGTCGTCAAGAACACAGGTGAAGCAGCAGCAGCAGCAGCAGGTCCCCGCGTGCTGTAAGAGACTTTCTCATCACATCTTCCCACTTCATATAGATTCGTGGACGCCCGGGACCGCAAGCTGGTGAAGACCAAGAACTCCAGCAAGCGGCGGGTCAGCAGCAGAGCGCTCATGAACCTCCACAACAACGAGGCCGGACGCAAGGTATGTAAAGACCTTTTGTGCCCTCTTTAATGCTTTTTTGCGCTACCGCTCACATGATGAGTATGGGGTGCACAATAAACAATCAATCGCCCACCTCACTCTCTTAGCCACTTCTTGCTAAACTCATCTATAATCTATCTCTTCACACCAACTCCTTACCTCCAATGTTATATAATCAATTTAGTTCTGTATAAGCATCAGAGGTCCGCGGTTGTTCAACGTCCTCCCAGCGACTATAAGAAATATAGCCGGAACAACCGTGGACATCTTCAAGAGAAAACTAGACTGTTTTCTAAAAAAATGCCTTGCCAACCGGGTTGTGGTGGGTATGTGGGCCTGTGGGCAACTCCAAGCAACAGCCTGGTGGACCAAACTCTCACAAGTCAAGCCTGGCCTCGGGCTGGGCTTGGGGAGTAGAAGAACTCCCAGAACCCCATCAACCAGGTACTCACTTCTTGCAATTCAGGTCATCGACCAAAGTACAAAATAAAGCAGTAATAGTCTTATTGTCCCGTAACTTTCATTTATAAAAGTAATGTAATACTGACTCAACCCTTCTGCTCTGGGTACCATGTTTTTGGAGTTAAAAGCTATTCATCCTTCCTAACCAAGCCACTGTACTGTTTCCTAACCAAGCCATTGTACTGTTTTCTAACCAAACCACTACACTGTTTCCTAACCAAGCCACTGTACTGTTTCCTCGAGGAACGTAAAGAACATTCAAGGAACGGCTTGGTGTTCCTGCTAAACCACCACCCATTACGAACTATCAACTCGTATGCAAATTTCCTAAACTTCCTCGCCGAGTCAAGACAATACAAGTTTAAAGCACTGAAAGGTACCTCATCCTGTGCTAAGTTATCTCCCTTAAAGATTTATACAGAATTTGCAACTTTTTCACCACAACGGAGCTTAAAAGCGGGTCGCAGATCTCTTAATACTTTCCCGATTCACTTCGAAATTGAATGTAAATTCAATTTAGGCAGTTTAACACACCTTGAGGTTACTTCACCAGACTACATCCTGATGTCTCTGTTTACCCAAGACATGACTTATGCAGCCCATCACACGTGACTAGAACCTTATACACACACACACAACTGGCTCACCCTACTAGGTGAGTATACACACACACACCTGTCATAAAGTCCATCACATATGACCAGACCCCCACACCTGACGCCTGATGAGAGGCCGGCCACCCAGCACAGGGAGCAGGAGCCTTAACAACCGTCTCAGGCTTCACGTCTCCATAATTACTCACTCGAGTACAGGTACACTGCGTGATTCACAAGTTACAATCGAAAATTACAGGTGTCTTACCTGTAATTTCCGCTTGGTGCTTCCAAACCTGAAATCAAACTTTAATTAAATACATTTGTACTCGTTATTGTCAACTTTACGTAACTTTACACTTGAATTAAACCTTAAAGGAATGACAAGTTTTCAGTTTGCTTGGTCTTAAAGACACTTTATAACACTTGAATGTACTTAGAGAACATTACAGGAATAGTATTACCCGGCTCTTGTAGCTGGGGTGGCTTGCGTGTCCCACTCTCACCATGTTTCTGGTCACGGGTTCGCATCCCACCCAACACTTTCATTAATCAAACAAGAAAAAAGATAGATATTCCTTGGAAACCACAAACAGGTATAGTATCCATATCTCCGCCTCAGATATAACTACAACCCCGCACTATAACCTCGCCAGTACATTTATACCTCTACCTGGAGTGTATTTTACTTCACAACCTTAATACAATATACAACCCCAATGTCACCATTGCTACAACACACTCACACACAACACTCGCACAACTAACGCGATTTACAACATCACCACAACCCAATATAACCCCCACAGCCTCAATATAACCCCCCACAACCCCAATGTAACCCCCACAACCCCAGCACCCTTGTAACCCCAGCACCCCTGTAACCCCAGCACCCTTGTAACCCCAGCACCCCTGTAACCCCAGCACCCTTGTAACCCCAGCACCCCTGTAACCCCAGCACCCTTGTAACCCCAGCACCCTTGTAACCCCAGCACCCTTGTAACCCCAGCACCCACCTACCCGTACTTAATATTCGTCCACACCTGCCTCCTAACAAGCCTGCTGCAGGTGTGTCCTGCCTCACGAATACTAATTTACCCTGTGTTAGGAGGGCGTTGGACTCTTGCTTTATTACTTATTAAAGCGTCTGGCGCGCAAGCTAATAAAACTGACATTAACCTAAGAATTACTGGGCGTCTTCTAAAGCTTCTTTTGAGCGCAAGCCGACATCAGGCTCTCCCAATCTGCCTGTGTCTCATGACCTCTTACGAAACCTGTACATCTTCCCCCCCCCCCCCAATTATAGCGGCTTAGTGTAATGGCACAGTTTACGAGCTCAGGAGGCGCGACGAGGCTGTTTATAACACTATCTTGAGGTTATCTTGAGATGATTTCGGGGCTTTTTAGTGTCCCCGCGGCCCGGTCCTCGACCAGGCCTCCACCCCCAGGAAGCAGCCCGTGACAGCTGACTAACACCCAGGTACCTATTTTACTGCTAGGTAACAGGGGCATAGAGTGAAAGAAACTCTGCCCATTGTTTCTCGCCGGCGCCTGGGATCGAACCCAGGACCACACGGTCACAAGTCCAGCGTGCTGTCCGCTCGGCCAACCGCTAACAACCACTAACCACCAACCACTAACATAAACAATGAAGTTCTACCCGCCAAACACACCACGAAACCACAACGTCTCTGCAACATTCAAACAACTTCATAACACGTCATAAAAACTTTTATAACACGATGTAACAACTTTGTAGCCAGTTGTGACCAGGTAACAACACGACCGTGACGTTGTGTGCTTGTTGGGTTGGCATCAAAATGTCTTAATTGTAAATTAAATATAGATAAAATAAGACATAAATAAGACTGTGGCTGGTAAGTGATGGTCCTAAAGAGGAGTCCTATTGTCAGAGTTTTATGCCGTTTTCTATATGCAATTATCTCTGACATTTTAGTGAACAAATCATTGTAGTGTAGTGTCTTCCATTTTCTATAATGTGTTTAATTTATTGCCCATTCGTCTGATATATTAAGGGAGATATATACATCGACATACGCATCCCATTTATTGCTGTATTATATACAATGAGGCTTTTTTTTTTTAAAGTCCTGGACAAAGTTCAGGGCTAAAGTATACTTAGTGGTTGGTTAGGAAGGTGTGTTATACCTATTTGATAAAATATAGACACTGTGTTATACCTATTTGATAAAATATAGACACTGTGTTATACCTATTTGATAAAATAGACACACTGTGTTATACCTATTTGATAAAATAGACACACTGTGTTATACCTATTTGATAAAATAGACACACTGTGTTATACCTATTTGATAAAATAGACACACTGTGTTATACCTATTTGATAAAATAGACACACTGTGTTATACCTATTTGATAAAATAGACACACTGTGTTATACCTATTTGATAAAATATAGACACTGTCTAATTTAATTTTACCGTTATAACGCATTAAATTAGGCTTTATATGACATTATGTTTTAGTGTTGTGTGAGGTTAATAGGCTTACCGTTCAACCCGCCCCGGGAGTAAGACGTGGCTTGTTGACACCAATCTTGAGACCAAAACCTGATGTACTGATGCTCCCAGTGGCTGGCAACACTGGTTATGTCTCCACTTTAGTGAGGGTTGGCAACGCTGAAGAGGACCCGCTATATGGGTCCACAGTCTTGTGGTCCACAGTCTTGTGGTCCACAGTCTTGTGGTTCACAGTCTTGTGGTCCACAGTCTTGTGGTTCACAGTCTTGTGGTTCACAGTCTTGTGGTCCACAGTCTTGTGGTCCACAGTCTTGTGGTTCACAGTCTTGTGGTTCACAGTCTTGTGGTTCACAGTCTTGTGGCCCACAGTCTTGTGGTTCACAGTCTTGTGGTCCACAGTCTTGTGGTCCACAGTCTTGTGGTTCACAGTCTTGTGGTCCACAGTCTTGTGGTCCACAGTCTTGTGGTTCACAGTCTTGTGGTTCACAGTCTTGTGGTTCACAGTCTTGTGGCCCACAGTCTTGTGGTTCACAGTCTTGTGGTCCACAGTCTTGTGGTTCACAGTCTTGTGGCCCACAGTCTTGTGGTTCACAGTCTTGTGGTTCACAGTCTTGTGGTTCACAGTCTTGTGGTTCACAGTCTTGTGGCCCACAGTCTTGTGGCCCACAGTCTTGTGGTTCACAGTCTTGTGGTTCACAGTCTTGTGGTTCACAGTCTTGTGGTCCACAGTCTTGTGGTTCACAGTCTTGTGGTTCACAGTCTTGTGGTCCACAGTCTTGTGGTCCACAGTCTTGTGGTCCACAGTCTTGTGGTTCACAGTCTTGTGGTTCACAGTCTTGTGGTCCACAGTCTTGTGGTTCACAGTCTTGTGGTTCACAGTCTTGTGGTCCACAGTCTTGTGGTTCACAGTCTTGTGGTCCACAGTCTCCTGGCCCACGGAGACTGTGGCCGACAGTCTCGTGGCTGAGTGGTCATCGTCCTTGACAAGTCCGTGTACTCAAGGACTACTGGTCCTTGAGTACATGGACTCGGGGTCCAATCCTAACCGAGATAGAAACTAGTAGGCAGTTGTTCCCCTCATCACCATAATATATACCTTTGGAGTGAGACAACTATTGTGGGCAGGATCCTGGTGATGTATGTGGGTGTCCAGGAAGAAATGCTGTCTATAGCACATATGATAGAGAACACACAGAGATCACACTAACGTGATGCATCAAATGATGAAATGAAAACTTCGGTTTCAACTCTTTTTGACCCTGTCGTAGCTCAGTCGATTAAGGCAGTGTCTGGGATGCTCCCGGACGCAGGTTCGAATCCTCGTCACGGCCCTTGTGGATTTGTTCACATGCTAGAGAAAATAAGTCGGGAGTCGGTACCTTAGACATCCGACGGTTAGAAAGACGGGGGGGGGGGGGTTAAGAACTAGAAGCTCGATCCT